TGGTGGACATGAACTCAGTTGATTATTGTGTGTATTGCTGTCAGCACGCCTTTTGAAACAACTCAGCATTAAGCTCACTTGCAGGCAATGATGCCAATGATGCGGGAGAGTCTATCAGCATCTGCGGCAGCAGCAGTGGTTGCCCCCGCGGAAGCGGGAGGAGAGCCTGCTGAGGAAGACGCTGAGGAAGATGCTGATATGGAGGGAGCTGAGTCCGAAGCTGCGACAGAAGACAAGACTCTCAATGTAGATTAGCTAAGCTCAGTGTGGATAGGGCACATGTCAGTGTAGCAAACTGCTGCTCGAGGCCACTCGAAGGTCAGTGCGAGAAAAGTTGCTGATAGGGAAGCTCTCTTTACTATCACTCTGAGTTTTTCGAGTCGTGGTTCGAACTCCTTCGTTGGATTAGGTTTTTTCAACATGTTCGGAGGGGTCAGGGTGGAGTTTGCAGACGTTCAACCTATGTTTGTGTGTGTGTGCGCGTGCATAATTTCAGTGCAACCAGTGCAACGCATATGCTTCTGTTTGTTTTTTTTTTCAAGCGGTTCCAGTGAGTCACACACATCACCAATATTGCAGTATATACTTGTACGCGCACGTATTTTCAAAAAAAACACTGATACAATAATTAACTAATATGACAGTTCAAAAATGTTTTTGTTTCAAACAAACGTAGATATGTGGTAAAACGACGTGGAAATATAGTATTTTTGAAACATGCCCATTGAAACAATGGTAGGTTGATATTCATCAGGGCCAGTGGAAAACCATGGCAGCAGTCAACATTGCCAGTGAAAACGAACATGGCAACCTGACTCTGTGACTACTGACAGTCATCATGGCTATTGACAATGTCAGCTGTCAACATGGCCATTGAAAACAATGGTGGCGACCTATTGTGACCATTTGTGACTACTGACAGTCATCATGGCCATTGGGTAGCCATGGCAGCCAGCAGTCAACATGGCCATGTTGGCAACCTCTTTTGGTCCATGAAAAACACCAAATGGGGTGGACACCCAGATGTAAAATGAACACCTGGATGTAAGGCATCAGTCTTTCCGGCGAAAGCCATCTTCAGCCGAAAGGCAGGCACGGGGAGACACAAGTGCCGAGGAGTTGCACGCGGCAACTTCATGAATGCCAAGAGCTCCGAATCCACATTTGCATCAGGAGCGAGTGGAATCGAGGTGAGGATGCTGATCAAGATGGCGTCAGTCCACCAATGGTCGCTGAGTACCATCGACGTCAAGACCGCATTCCTCAACGCACCAGCTGCTCACGACAGAGGAACAGTGATTGTCCAACCACCACGAATCTTTCAGGAGGCGGAGGTGCTCCAAGATCCGAAGGAATTGTGGTTGGTAAAAAAGGCCCTGTACGGGCTGGTGACATCCCCTCGTGACTGGTGTGACCACCGAGATGGGAAGATCAAGAACTTCCGGTGGGAGAGAGAGGGACGACAGGTGCGCATACAGCCAACACCTCAAGCGGACATCTGGCTGGTTCAGGAGTTCGACAACCAGGAGCAGTGGACTACTAAGGGGGCACTGGCCACCTATGTGGATGATGTGCTGGTGGTTGGAGAAGAGGAGATCATTCGGGGGTTCATCAACCAGGTCAAGGAACATTGGAAGATCGGAGAGCCCTCGTGGGTGATGGAGGGCCAAGAACCCGTCCGCTTCTTAGGGATGGAGATCGAGAAGAGGGGGATGGACTACGTCATCCATCAGCAGGCCTACATCACCAACCTGCTGAATGAGTACGATGAGAAGGAGCGGGGGGCACTGAGTCATGTTCGAACTCCAGAGGAGGAGGAGCATCCGACAGCCGAGCAGGTCCTCAGAGCTCAGAAGGAAACGGGAGAGTTGCTGTGGGTGGCTGGAAGGACCCGCCCGGACTTGTCGCTGGGGGTGGGCATTATGTCTCAGTGGGCTTCGAAAAGGCCAATGCAGGTGATCAAGATTGGCAAGCAGCTCCGAGCTCATCTCAGGGAGACGATCGAAGAGGTTTTGGTGCTGGCTGCCAATACGATGGAGAATGGAGAGGTGGTCGACGACAATGAGAAGACCGCGATCCAGACAGTCGACATCTACACGGATGCCTCATACGGGTCATCGGAGCTGAAGAGCATTTCGGGGGTGGCAGTCTTCGTCGGAGGGACGCCACTGGGTTGGCAGACGACGCGTCAGCCCTTCGTCACCTTGTCAACGGCGGAGGCGGAACTCATGGCCCTGCTCGAAGGTTTGATTGCAGGGAGATCGACTGCGGCATTGGTGGAGGCGGTGGTTGGGAAGGCAGCCAAGGTGGGGCTCCACTCGGATTCCACTGCGGCCATCGCGATTGCCACAGGTACTACGTCATCGTGGAGGACGAGGCATCTGAGGATTCGAGCAGCTGGACTCACCGAGGCGATCAAGGAGAAGGAGATCACCTTGGATCATGTGTCCGGGAAGATCCTCGTTGCTGATGGCTTCACCAAGCAACTCACGGGTCCGGCTCTGGGAAGATTCAAGAGGGCGCTGGGACTCAGCGGAGGCGAGAGGGAGCCGATCGAAGTCAAGAGGATTGAGATCACTAAGAAGGTTGAACCGAGCTTCACTCGGGGAGTGGGACTCCTCATCGCAGCTGCCTGTTTGGTTGGAAGAGTGGAGGCAGCAGAGGTGGAAGTGGCGGAAACCACAGGCGAACGGCGGATCACCGCGTTGATCACGGCAGCCATTGCCATTTGGTGGATATCGCCTTCCGAGTGGGCACATCTGGCATTCAGCGGTGGTTCAAACCGAAGGAGGAGATCAAGGTGAAGTTGCTTAACCCAGAGGCCCGTCTTCCGACCAGGGGCTCGGACCAAGCTGCAGGGTTGGACTTGTATTCAACCATCGAAACACTAGTTCCCCCGGGCGAGAGCGTCTTGATCAAGACCGGGATTGCCATTGAATTGCCAGCCGGTACCTATGGAAGAATAGCCCCACGTTCTTCGTTAGCCATCCGGGGCATCGAGACGGGTCCGACGAGGTTCGGACTAAGTCCGAAGGGGGAGTGCGGTCGGACACAAATCGAGAAGTGTACCGATAGCCCCTTTTTTCAAGACCAGCCTAGGAGGAAAAGGCTTTGTGCGGTTTCAACCGCGAAGCAGTGTGAATATATAAACAAAGGTCCCTCCAGGTACCGTTAAAACCTTGATAAGGTAGGTTTTGTGTGTGGGGTGGGTAGTTATACATGTATATATACTGTTTAGGGGACTGTAGAGGTCAGACTTGGGAAGGGAAGGCACGCACTAGAGTGCCAACTGCTGTGGCCGTCTTGGGTGCCCTGGCCTCGCTCGTACTTGGTACGTGTATATAAGAGTAGTTAAAGGAAACAAAATTAGACGGCAAGGGCCGCTTAAAGGGTTTCCAAGATTCAGTTGGTACACACCCACAACGACGGTCCAATGCAGCATAACTTGACACCATGTCTTGTGCATCAAGCTATGAGACAGGAGGCTGTGTGCAAATGCGGTTGTGTAAGCATGTACACATAGTGGCATGGTGCCTTCACAAAAGGAATCATTATACGTGAGTGTTTGGAGAATGTGACAAACGGGACAAACGGGGTTGAATTCCTCTTTCACCATCAAGCAGTCACCCAGGTAAGATCAACAGCTTGCAGGAGTCATGTCTGCAGGGCTTCGTATCGGAGTTGTCGATCCTGCCTTGACCGTTTATGCAGGTGTAGTTTTAATGAGTTTTGTCCGGTTTTACTGTAACTACTTGTTTTTTCTTCAGTCAGCTTCAGCAGAGCTGAATTATACATATTATTACAAAATCAGCACTATTGTATTTGATGTCACCTCTAAAGGCCCGGTGCCCAGAAACCAGCTGTACGAGAGCCATTAGTTCCAATCTAAGCAGGCATTGCACACAAGTTTGGCGGCATAGGCAGGTTGAAGGATACAAAGTACTGCAGATTGGACCAAGTGACCAAGTCTTTGCTTCCTAAAGGCAAACACTGTGGCGCAAGTGTCTTCCTCGAGCTACCATCCACTTTTTCATCCTATATCCACTTCTGAATCCATTTGTTTCATCTTCGAAGAATCGAAGTAGTGAGCGATTGAATCGCCTACGCCAATCCGCAGCCGGCCGTTCCTTTCCCCATCAATTTCTCCATGACTATTCCAATCCTATGGATTTCAACATTTGGCTACTAGGAGCAAAAAAGCATGCATTTGCAATAAATCTACTAGGAGCAAAGGGCATCGCTACTAGGAGCAAGGACGCTACTAGGGGCTCCTGGCCTTGCTACTAGGAGCAAATAGCTACTAGGAGCAAAGGCTGAACACAGCTCAAGTCATCGGAGTGTTTGCTGGCACCCTTTTGTATCGCATCAATCTTGTGCCTGATTTGGAAGCAGTCATAGTCTAGAGTTATCCATGTCGGGCTTTTGAATACCAGTGCAAAAGGAGATATTGGGGCTCTATCGCCTATCAATTCTGCCTTGCACGTTTGGTTGGTGCTTTTTCATGGTCACCTGACATGCTTTGAGTGATCATCACCAGGGGGGGGAACTTGAGACGCCGTCATTCACGAGACTTGCACGCACCAGGAACACAGACAGTTACGAAGGAGATGTAAAGTGTAGAAAAGGATGCCAAAAAAGAACGCAGCAAGCCATACATTCTTGGATAGCCATTCAAAGTCCACCTTACACACCTCCGGGGGCCACTTGGAAGTATTTCCATTTAAGAAGACCGCGTCCAGCTATTTGTACTGGCGACTTTGGAGAGCCATCTTCGAGGCCTACTTTGAGAAAGCCCGTGTGCCAGGCACGGGCCAGAGAAATGCCCATGCCCGGCACACCTATACCGCTGTTTGTGTGAAGACGCACAGAACTGGCCCTCCACAACTGTCACACCCTATCAGCATTCCTGAAGCTCCTTGCAAGCACCGCTCCTTCAAGACGGTCAAAAGCGCTTGGGGTATATACATCTATAATGAGCATCAATAATTTCTGGTGCTCAGCACGCCCTCACAATCGCAGGATGCCATCATGGAGCAGTTTGCAAGTATGTGCAGCTCCGAACGAGAGAGGCCGCGGAATGGATGCTTGACCCAGGTCATGTTAACAACAGTGACCACAGTGTTTGTTCCATCAAAGGGTGCGCGAAAGATAGAGAATGCAGAACAACCCAAGCGTTTTGCAAGTTGCACTCTAATAATCTCATGTTCTATAATTATACATTTATATATATTTATATATATATATCGCATTCTCCGATTCAGAGGCCCGAGGGCTCTTGGAGGAGCACTCGTGGGATGCGTTTTCCCAAAAGCAGCATTTTGTCAAGTTTGCTCTTTCAAGTGCTATTGCACCATCAGTGTCCCCAGGCGTACCGCCTACCCATGAATTCAAACCACTGGTTTTGGTTAGCCAAAGCACCGATCGATGAAACTGTGCAGGCTTGTCAGACAAGTATTGGAACTTGCAGTACCTCCTGTGATGCTACAACATCTTGGTGTGGATGGTATTTTACAGCGCGTGCCCAAAAACTACGTGGCGGCTGTCGTAGGCTGGTGTCGCTGCAAGACGACATGGGAAACTGGAAACCTTTAGGCTACGCTCATGTTTCAGGCATGCTGATCAGCTGATCCCTCAATGTTTTTGTGGCGCCTGGGAAAAACAACAAAGAGGATCCTAGCAATCCCATTCACATGATGGCTTAGCTTGTGTTTCTCTCGTGCTGTTGGCAATCCCAGTTTGGCAGCCCCTGCTGCTAGTGCTGTTGCTGCTTTTGCTGCTCCACCTCCGTCTCTTTGTGCAGAGTGGCTGTAAATTGCACATGAAATCATAACGTTGGTGCAGGTGTATGTGTGAAATAATTCTTGGAGCCTAATTTGTCAACTTTGTTGTTTACTGGGATGGGGCTCAAATGCTAGTTGCCCACACTGGTTCCAAGTGGCTACGTCATCAACTGAATGTCTAATCTTGAATCTCAATGGATGATGAACTTGGATTGTCATTCTTCCTTTGCACCACTGCGATTGTACAGTTCTGCCCAAACATGTTTTCCATTTTGTGCAGGCGCATGGGTGGCATCTCGTTTTGTGTTTGAACCTCAGTGGTTTTGACATGGATATGGTGGGCGAAAGTCCCAAGTTTGAGATCCTTGGTTGGCGAATGTTGGGGACAATACTCAGTTGAGCGTCTATTAAGATGCCTTTTACAGCCATTCGACTCAGGTACAGTCAAGGAGTTGATGGGGCAGAGGTCTCTTTTTTCTTCTTTCTACGCAACTTGCTGAGCAAGGCGCAGTAGCAGGAACGCCCGTGCCACACAATTTGCGTTGCCGGGTGCAGTGGCACTTTCACCATCTCTTGAGACTCTTGAGCCCAAGGCTATCCTTCGAAATTCACAGGGTCGCGACAGAAGGTGACCCTTCTTGTCCCGATGTGCATTTTGATATTGAGATAGAGCAAACCAGAACGACCAGACTCCAGCACGACCAGAACATATAAAGCTGCTTAGAGAAGGAGCACAGAAGCTGAAATATCGGGGATTGCTGACGGCACTCGTGAATGCACTGCAAAACATGGCTCCGGGGATTTTAACCTGAGCCATGTGGCCACGCCTCGTATGACTCCAAAGTAGAAGAGGACTTGGACAGCTAAGTTTTGAAGACTCAGCATGTTGGGCACACAGGTCAATGTGCCGCATTTGCTCGGCCTGCTGATTGCACTGTGTTGGAGCAGGAGGTTCCACGCAGCTCCTGTGGGATGCATTTGCAGGCATTGTATAGATAATTCATCCTTTTGAAGTTGCCTGGCAGATGGTGGCCTCATGGAATTTCTTTCCAAGTGTTCAGCTGTTTCAAGACCTACGGTCGCGTCGATGTGAGAAAGTACAGGAATTCTTCCGGATCAGATGAGTGACTTTGTTACTAGTAGCGTGGCACTTGTTACTAGTAGCTTCTTGTTACTACTAGTAAGGCACTTGTTACTAGTAGCGATGCACTTGTGGAATTGTTTTAGCCACACTGTGTGTTTCTATGTTGGAGACTTTGACGTCCTGACCTCACATGAAGCCTTGCTTCTGCAGCATCGGGTCGAAGTATCGTGTATTCAGATTACCCACACATAAACAGCCTCCCCAGAAAGACACTGGAAAAGCTACTGTAGCTTTATGGTGTTCTTTTCCTGGCTTCCAGTCTTCCAAATCAGTAACATGCCAAGGTTTGCGCTAGTGGGCCATGTGCGGCAGGCCAGGCACTTGCAAATCAGATCAAGGCTAGTCTACACTCCTAGTACTAGGAGGACTGCTACCACTGCCACTACTACTGCTGCTTTACTCTTGCTCCTGCTACTGCTTACAATATACAATAAACATCAATGGACATACAACTTTCACTCCCACCAGCTCTGACGGTGTAACTACAACGGCTTCTACTCCCGCTGTCAGCACTAAATTGTTCAGGCAACCATATTCTCACTTTGGTGTGTCTCCATGTTTGGAACGGTTCCGAGGATTACTTAACTGTCTCCCGAAGTGCCCGCACGTTCGACAGATCGTGAATGCCAGCATCGATCCTGCTCTCGTGGACACCTTCGGTCGCAGGCGCGTTTTTGATTTTAGGAGTTCGACAAGGCCTTGTAGGTGCCCAAGTTTGGGGGATTCGAAAGAGGCATCTCATGAAGCCCAAGCCGCTTTAAACAATGTGTTTATGTCTTTGCATAGCTGTTGGCCCGAGCTTAACAGTAGCTCAGCGTTGATGGCAGATTGGGCCGGCACGTTTCTCGCAATGGATCCTCTGCTCACCTGCTGGATGACCCCACATGATGTGGGGAAATGTGCCACCTTTTGCTGCTTCGCAAGCAGTTTGAAGATCAGTTGGTTTGGTAAATCCCATGACCCAGCCACTGTTTTCGGTGGAATGTGCGACTGAGGGAACATCAGCTTCCTTTCACCGATGGCATGTCGAGAGGTTTTCGGCAGCTGGGGCGGTGAAGATCCTTCCAACTGAAGTCTCAAACATGATCAGACACGATCAGGTCCAGGCTGCTACTCCACGACTTTGTGTGGAAGTATGCGCAGGCATGGGTGGAGCGAGTCTTGGCTTTGCTCAGGCTGGATTTGTCACCACTGTTATGCTCGACAGAAGCTCCTTGGCTTGTGACTCTCTTCGTCGCAACGGATGCTCGGCTGTGTGTTCGAGGAGCAGGTCAACACCCGCTCACTTGTAAAGCCTTGGAAATACTGTGCCTCACATGGTTGGAAATGGCATGGGCTCACTTTGAGGCTTGAGATGATCTGGCAATGCAAGCGAGCTAGGTGGTGGGCAGTAAACAGCCCCAGTTCTTGCGGACTTGAGCCAGCAATGGTTGCAGGGACCCTTTCATGAAGAAGCTGCCTTCAAATTCCTGCTATTGGAACGAGGGCTTTTCAGTGACTTGGCCTATGGAGATGTAGCTTACTCTCAGCCAGCTTGCACTGATCTTCCACTGTTGGGCCGGGGCAGATAGCTTCTCCGGCTCACTCCATGCGTGCAGCGAGGGACGCCGATCGACCTGAGAGCACCTTTCTTGACGCACATCGACAGGGCTTTCATGCTTTCTGACTGACATCGTGCGAGAGCATGCAATGAAGTTGCCTTTACCTCAAATGCATGTCAGCATCGTTCAGTTCAGCAATTTGCAGATGATTCTGTTCTGGTGAACCTCCAGGTCTATCAGCGTATGACTGGTTCAGAAGTCTGACAAGCTGAGAGGAAGCTGAAGGGAGAAGATGCTGATGGTATTTTGCTTGGTCCCCAGGGAGTCATCTCTCTTTCTTGGTTGGACCATGGATCTTTGGACTCCTGATGGGTCAGCGGCTCTTTGATCGCGCACCACGTGACGTAGCGACGGCTCTTCTGGGGCTGTACCCTCATGGAACGGTCGTCGCTCACAACAAATTCGAAGAATGACCATGACTTCATTTGTCCCTGTTGGAGATTGCTATTGGAACTTTCCTTCCTGCTGGCAAGTGCGAGGTGGGCTTGGGGCAGGCGTTGATGGACAGGGCCTCAAGAGCATCAGCCAATCAGAGCTGAGCATTCTTCACGAGACACTTTGGCCTTGTATGGGCCCCTATGTTGCACGGTCGTGGTGATTGGCTAGGATCGAGGACTGTCAGTTGACAGTTGACTGCAATTTTCTTCGACGGGCTCTCCACTGCCCATTTGGCTTGGCGCTCGGAGCTCGAGCTCAGGGAGGTCACCGTTCGTAAGCGCTGTTGATTGCGCATGATTGCTGTTGCTTTGTATCGCCTGCAGCGAGCTCTTGGCAATGACAGTCCAGCTACTGAAGCCGAGCTTCTCACATGGCACCGCTTTTTTGCTCCAACATCAACGACGCTCCGGTCAAGGGGGCAACGAACAAACGGCTGCGCGGTGGCACTGCAAGACATTTTGTGGCAGACGGCTGTTCCTCAACTTGGACTTGCTTTGGAGGAGTTAGTTCTGCTTGAGCTTCTTTCGGCTCGAGTCGAATCAGTCAACCCTTTGGCTTTTCATCACGCAATCCCGATTCCAGGACGCCCGGAAAACAAAAAGGAAAGCAAAACAATTTCCACGACTACACACCCTCAAGGCGCAACTGCAAGAGTTGTGCTCTTTCGTCCATCCTAGTCCTGTTCTTTACCATCTTGCTCCGCAATCCTCCAGGCCAAGACAACAAGGTGCATAAGCATTCAGAGTCTCCGTGTTGAGTGTCGGAATGTCAGCCATTCCACGACACACCCTAATGACAACAAGTTGAAACTGTATAGAGCGACTTCCGCAGAGACATTCAATTTATGACGCACGAGCGGAGCGATCCAGGCACCGCGCTGTCTAGCATAGCCAGAGCGACGCTGAGACAACGAAAAGAGGAGAGCCACACGCCGGTTCGCCAACCGCCCAGGCCAGGGAAGTCGCAATCCAGGAATGGCCCGAATTCTCGCGCTGCACGGTCGGGTGACCGTAATGGTGTCAACGCGCAAACCGAAAATATCGAAAAGCACACGAACTAACTCAGTCCTCCCAAAAAGGTCATTCAGGCCAACGTCCAAGTCGAAACCCAAGAATAAGGACCAATCTAATCGGAAGATCAGAACCAGCGTCAAGAACAAACCCATGTAAAACTTGACGAAGGACACCGGAACGATGTACTGCGCAGTGTCGCTGAGACTCTGTTACAAACAGTTGTACAGTGGCCAGCCCAAAAGAAACTAAAAATGGATTCCGCCTTGGGCTGCTGTAAAGGCGTATGGGCACTAGCACCCACCTCCTGGCCATTGTCCAAGTAGTCAGTGAAAACAAATCCCAAGCTCTGAACTGGCCTGCTTCCTGCGAGGACGTAGCGTCGCCCAAGGACAAATGCGCAGCCACCTTAGTCATCAAGAAAGGGGGAGCTTGCAACATCACCACCAAGAGAACCTCCCAGAGATCCACATTGTTCTCTTCTCCAGCTTCCAACCTATCCAGCGCCGACTGCGCCCTTGATGTCCACTTGAACCTTGTTCAGCTGATGCGCTAGTCGCCTGTGTCTGCTGCTCCATATTGACTGTCAAGTTCTCAATTTGGGAACCCTGCGAACCGAGCTGGGCTCCGATAAAAAAACCTAGCGCCAGCTTCAGCCAACCAGTGGTCGTATTTGCGATGCTGGGGTCTCAGACGGCATCTGATCTCGAACTTGTTCATTGAGGACTTTCACCTTGATGTGGGTCTCTGCACGCGTGTCAGTGAAAATGATGGCCTTGTGATCAGCGGCTTCCAGAGATTGGCACTCCCGGGGTCACCTCCAAACAACCAAGTGCCACGAGCATCAGAGCCGCTAGCTGTGCTGGGAGCTGCAGCTGAGCGCGTACGATTCGCACTTCCGGGGCTCAGAAGGTCTTGCACTATTTCTGGTATCCTTGCGATGCGCAGTGTAGTATAATAGTCACTGGGCCACGGTCAGTAGCTGGACGTGGGAAAGACCTATTGATGAGCTGCGTCTTCATCACGAGCTTTGCAGCGCAGCCCAAGCTTCACTTTCATTCTGGCCAGCTTCATTCTGACGAACATACATCCTGGCAATCCTCTCATCGAGTGAGATTGCTCGTGGAAGCCAACCATTTTCGTATGCTCCGGAGTCAGGTGCAGCTCTGGAGGCGCCCTGCAGTGCCCTGCAGCCTGCAGATTTCTTCTTCTTGTCCGTGGCGGCGCCAAAACTGGAATGGCTTGCCCTCGGGTGGTTGACGTTGCCTGAGGGTCCTCCAAGGATCATGAGACTTAAGCCGCTTGCACAGCCGAACCGAATTAAGTTGCGTTTTCGACGTGCGCTATTTGAGGTGACAACAGACCAAGCTTGGGCTTCTCAAGATCAAAGCAAGTTTGTCTTGCGGTGTTTGTTTGAGGAAAAGGCTTCTTTGAAGAATAAAACGCGAGAAGCACTTGGACGCCAGTATGTGGTCATTCGGACATACAGGGAGAATTGGTTCTCCCATGGATTGATGCGACACAAGCCAAAGTGGTTTTGTAGGGAGACTGAAGGGGTCTAGTCCGAATGTCATTCGATGGCAAAGTTGTGTAAGCTTAGGTTTTGCAATCGGGCACTACTTGCATGACCAAGTATAACGAAAGCCGACCAACTTGAAGTTAGTTTCTGCATGTTTCTGCGAACGAAGCTGACACAAGAACCTCCTGGACATGAGGACACTTGAGACGGCCTGGTCGAGGCTCACACATTTGATCAGCAAGTCTTGCCTCCACCTTTGATGTCGCAGAAGAACTCCTTTGTATAAGTTTGTACTTAGCATCTCTTTGTCTCGCTTCGAAAGCCTGCGCTCAAGATTGGAAAAAATGAGGTGGCAGAGGCTTTCACACACTGAGCCAAGCCACCGACCGACAGTCCGCAAGCGGAATCTGATCGGGCGACGGTTCACGATTGGAAACCGGGTTAAACCCATGTGATGCTGCGGATGAAATCACGCGGCACACGGATGCCGATCTTTCGAAGATTGCGGGCTGGGCCGACGGCTCATTCTCTTCCACCCAGTCTAGTGATTCTTTGGGTGATGTTCCCTGCCAGGAACGTGAACGCCAATCCGAGCTGTGGGCCACTCCACATTACTGGTTTTCATCCCCCCTTCTCAGGGCTGACCTCCAGTTAGCACTCATTTGCAATCTCCATTTCCGCAATTTCCTGGATGCGCTAATGATAATGAGCATCAATGGCCCCATTGAGTCCTTGCCGGAAGGCACAGATATTTGCGCGTCTCATTGACAGATCGCTGCAACTTGAGATGTGCCTCAGCTGTGGGAAGCCACAATACTTGGGTTCTTGGTTTGTTGAATGCGTTTTGGAGCAATACGTATGCCTTTCAGTTCTACGATTTGACATCAGGTCGCTATTGCATGCCGGAGGATGGAGAGGTCGACCCACACGCCAAAACCGGTCTGACGGCTGTGTTCAACTGACAGGGGCTGCAGGGGTTGCAAAACGTAATGAGCACTTGAGTGAAGCGCTGGCAAATTTGCAATGATCCTTTCACGCACGTGGATTTGGGGTGCAAAGATAGTGCCCGACGTAGGAAGTGTTCACACCGACGCCGGGTGGCAAAGTCATGACGGCAGAGGAGTCCGGCAAGCAGTTTGCCAGTCTAGGCCAAGTTTTGTCCGCAAGAGGCATCATGAAACGATCGCCATGACTTTTGACCACAATCACGTGATGTCGTTCCAGGAGCTGAAACGAATCCTTCAAGTCTTCCTTGAGCTTGGAGTTCGCAAGGTTTGGCAGTGTCGAAAATTTGGAGTTTCTGCAATTGACATATGATATATGTGGCATACTCTATCATACTCTACACATTAAGTTTCTGCCGGGCCACTATTGGTTGACAGTCAATAAAGGATTGGGAATTCACTGGTGACATGGCCACAACCACGTGGAAAGGTCTTTTGACAAACTGTTTGACCATATTCTAACTACAATGTCCATTTCTTCGCTGAAGATCCAGCAGACCAATTGTTACAGTGGCGTATCGTATCCCTTCATCCGTGTGGTTAGCATGTATATTGCTAGATTGGATGGGATAAGATAAGAAAAAACAGACAAGATAGGAAGGGCGCGTTTCAGAAGAAGTGTCAAGCGGCTGCTTGCCGAGACGCCCTACAAGTTGGGACACCACCAGAAAAGTTTCAAACATGATAGCTGTTTAGCGATGCCGGCCACCACCATGCGCAGCATGATGTTGAAACAACAGTGAACTGATGGTTCATTTCCTCCCAGCAGTGTAGACCCAAAGTGCGAGTGTGCCAAGGAACCTGCTTAGCACAGATTGCCTCCAAGGGACAGATGTTTTGGGAGCCAAAATGGGGATTCGAGCAGTCAGAGCTCCATTCTTTGAGCAGTCAGAGCCCCTTTTAAATTTGGCTTTCAGACGCTTTCAGCCATGAAATGGCAGAAAGATCCAGCGTTAGATTAGATAGATTAGATTGTTAATGTTGGTCAGAGAAGCACTTTCTGTCAGAGTCATTGCCTGGTAGCGTTTTCTTATGTTTTCTTGTGTCGTTGGGATGCTTGCCTGAATCGTGGGGTTTAGTCGCTTGCTTCTGTTGAGACACCTTGGAGCAGGTTCTGCATCCTAAGACTCCGTAGTGGGCAACTTGTATCATCTCGCTTGCTAAGCGGCCAGGTAAGGCTTACAGGGGGTGAGCCGACAATTCGTGGAGATTTTGGACGTATTTTGGAGGACACTTGAAAGTTTGAAGATATGTGTTGATTGTTTTTGAATTGAAAGAACTGATGTCAGCTAGATAACGTTTCTGTATTGATCTACATTCCAGCATGTTGTCAAGTTGCCAACAGTTTGTTGTTAAAATAGAGCTTTGCGCCAAAGCCACACCAGATTGAGCTGGCATGTATCCTTTTTGGGGCAGGATTTGGGCGAGCTAAACACACGCTTGGAGCCCAAGGAACCGGTGGGGTGCGTTTTCCAAATCAATCTCTTGCACATGTAGGTATATAGATGCTGTAAATCGATAGAGGCTGGAGATGGATACATAGGCAGGCACACACAAGTAGACATCTAAGAATAAAATAACGACGGGCCGATTCTACAAACGACTCGCATGAGCCCAGTAGAGCAGTTCACAACGTTCACAATGGAATTCAGAGATGAATGTGCGTTTCTTCTTTAGCCCGCCCTTAAGTAAGTAGGCGCCTACTTAATTAAGTAAAGGAGAACGCAGCTACTAGTATGGACGCAGGATAGCTCACGCTTCTAATGATTTGGCTGGATGGGGTTGGCGACAGTCTTGCATAAACAACTGTTTGAGGCTTGCCAGAGCCTTTGTCCCTTGGCATCACCACGAATGGCATTCGGTGCTCCCAGCGTGATTTCAGCTTCTTCCCATAATACTTTCGATATCTGTTGATAGTGTTCCATACATTCGGGACCGTTTGGTCCTTTGAAAACTCAATTTGATCCTTCACCTTTTGGCTGTGGGCCGCAGGTTGAAGAAGTTTCTTCCGCAGCTGCGGGCCGCAGGTTTGCGGAGCATCAATTTAAGCTGGGGGGCTTGTGAACACTTTGTGGGTTAAAGCTCGCATAAGGCTCCAACCTTGGGGCTTGGGACGTCATCGCGACGGTATTTCACGAGTCTGACACCCTTCTTTTGCAAAACAGGACGCTCTGAGCGTGCGTATTTTGTGAATGTACTACTATCTCACTATAGTCTTTGCTTGTGCTCAGAAGACTTTATCATGACTGTTCCCTTTGCATTTGCTGTTTGCTGTCCCATGCCTAAATCACCAAAACAATCCAAAACAAAAAAAGGATATAAGTCTATGTCTCAGAACCTGCCCCTCAGACATTGATCTTTTTTTGGACCCTTTTTTGTTGTTGGACTACTTGATTTACAAATTAAATGGCAGTGAGCAACACTGGTCTTCACCCATGCCTAAATCACCAAAACAAACAGAACAAGGAAACAAGTCAATGTCTGAGGGGCAGGTCCTGAGACATAGACGTGTTTGTACGTTTTTTGTATTTTGGTGATTTAGGCATGGGTCAAAACCTGACAGCAGACACCAAATGCAAAGGGAACCTATGTTTCAAGCACAAAGCGCTGCAAGCCTTATAATCAGACAAACGTGTGAGTAGTACATTATATATATATACCAATAGTTGCGTGCAATAATTTTGCCTCAGCAGACGACAAATGACGTAAAGCCAATTGAACTTTGTGAACATAGTCCTTTGGGTCTCAACATCTGTGTAATCTGCTCCAAGCCTTAGTGTATGATAAAAGAAACAGGAGCATTTGACCTGTATTGACCTGCGATGTGGCAATAGTTTCTGACTGTATCATCTCCTTCTGATGTTTTACAGATTGAGAAACGAGTTGCATTGTCGACATCAATGTCTTGTTCATGTGATATGTCCATTTCTATGTTAGTGTTCATTTTGTCCATGATACCTTGTTTGATTTTTGTTAGTTGTTCCACACACTTATCCATATAATCCTCTCCATATAATATAGAGCAAAAGGACGTTTAGTTTAGTGTTGAACTTGGTGTCTTCAGTAAAATCACCTTTCTATCGTAGTTTGTATTGTTATCCTTCTACTGCCAAACATCCATGTTCATAACGCTTATCCAGCAAATCCTTTTTGGTGAGTGGATGAGTGCAGTACCTACAGCTGTGTTGGGGCTCTTGTCATTGTTCATTTGATGATTAAGTAGCCTTGATGATTGCGCAATGACATTTGTTTTTTCATGATAAACCTTCAATATATCCCGCATGCTTCACCTTTGTGGTTCTGTGCTTGATTCCCTTGTCATCATTTTAATGCATTATTAATTCAAATATATGTCCTGAACCTTTGTGTTCTTCAAAACAATCTATCTCCCTGTTTCCTGTTGGCTTGTTGTAGTGGAGCATCGTGTCTGGATGAGTTTTAGAAACGTCATCATACACTAATGTTTGAACACAGTATTTGAAGCATTTGTTGTCCTTGTTTTTTAATTAGATACATATTTTTTAGTTTAATCCGTTTAGGTAGTTCAATATTATTACCCGTGTTATAGAAATAGGTTTTTACAAATCATAAATTTGATGTTCTACCTTCCAAATCTTGTATTTTTACCGTATGTGTTTGACACTGTCCTCAGGTGCTTTATTCAAATCATCCTCATTGATTATAATGCATCTCGTCGTTGGTAAATTATAACAAGAAAAAAGTGCACACTCACAGCGTCCCTCTTTGTTTCTTTAGCCCGTAGCCCTGCCTCCTTACTTAATTAAGTAGGTGCCTACTTAATTAAGCAAGGGACAAACTTGTTCGCTCCTAGGCACGAGGCACGACTACATATGGACGCAGGATAGCTTACGCTTCTTCAAGGAAGCTCCCCCCAGCTGTTTGGCCCAAACCCACTCAGCTCACGCGGCGGCACCCGCCGGGGCGTGGACATTCACCACCGTGGTGAAGGTTGCGCGTCCACAGAGCACGGCCTCTCCAGGCCTTGCAGTGCCATGCAAACTAAGGTGATGAAGAGCGCAACTAGGCTCACGGCAGAAAGCAGTTTGATAGACTGGGCTACTGCGGGCTTGCCATCCACCCTGGCCGACTCAGTGGGTGCCACGTTGATGACCATAGCCAGAGCTGGAACACCTCGGGAAGATGACAAGGAATGGGTTCTGTTTGGTGAAGTTGTGGGCACCTGTGATGGCCCTCCTTTCACAGCACACCTGCATCGACTTCCGCTGCTTGTGCCTGATCAAGAGAGGACGGATGGAACTTGGGACAATTGGGACCTGGTTTGCCCAATTGCTCACACTCGTGTTGACTTCAATGTAGGCATGCAGATTGGCGTGTTGTCCAAGCCTTCTGATCACCAGGTTTTTGGGAAGATCATGGCAGGTGAATCTGTGCCAGTTTGGAATCTCTCCTCCTTTGACAAGGATCTATCCTGGAATGTGTCGCATCTTTTCTCTGGTGCATATGAAGGATGGCTACGGGCCATGTGGTGGCTTCAGCAGGCAAACCTTGGTCACTCATTCGCCACTCATACATCGGTGGATTGGTGCCCTATGGTAATGAAGACATGGAGCTTCAATCATGGTCGTGAACACCTTCAGGCTCCTGTTCAGGCATCTTATTCCTCCAAAGAGGTTTTCAATGCAATTCTCGCTGACATTGGTGATGCCTCCGTCTTGCGTGCTACCTCAAATAAGTCCAACCTGATGATGACCCTTTCTCCACCATGCCCTAGTTGGAGCAAAGGTGGAAAACACTCAGGCCTGGCTACAGATGAGGGCTATTGCTTTCTAGATGCCATTGAACATGTGAGCCGGGTTCAGCCAGTCCTTGCACTCTTTGAATGTTCTGACGGACTTGAAGCTCATCCTCACTGGCGAGTCATCTCTGCCGCTATGCAATTGGCTGGCAGCTCACTGGCAATCATCGTACGAGATGGCTGGCAATTTGGGCTCGGAAGGATATTTCAGTCTACGGAGCGGTTCCTCTGCATCATGAACCGTCGACTGAACTGGAATGATCAGAAGCACCTTCATGCTCTTCCAAGTGCCTTGGCTGAGGGTTTACTCCTTCAACCCCCCCAAGAGCTTGTGTATGGGGACCGGACTCTGCTGCCGCCAGCAAAGAGGACCAGGGTTGACAATGGTGCCACCACTCAGCAGGTTCTTGAGCAGAGAGTTGTTCAGCATGGTGACTATTTGCCAACACTTTGTGCATCATATACTGCACAGCATCTCTTGCAACGGGAGCGCTTGGAAGCCAAAGGTATTTTTGCCACCTTGGTGCAGCGCTGTGATCGATATTCCTTTATTGGTCCATTTGTATTTGTCTCCCTGTTTGGAACCACGGACTCGATTGCCCTGCCACAGGTGCATTTCATCAGCTCGGTAATGCAATTTCTCAGATTCATGCCCTGATTGCACTACTTTATGCTTTGGAGAGTGTTGGAGTTGAGCCTGTTCAGAAATTGAAGATTGTGCAACAATGCTGGGAGGATCGTCTTACCTCAGACAAAGCTGTTATTCGTGCCTGCGATGACATGTATGAATTGCAGCCTCTTGCGGACTTTGTGGCTAAGGCGGTTCCGAGCATTGCAACTTGGCAGCCATGGCTTGTGGGCCACAAGTTGATCAGGTTCTGTGATGATTCAACGCTTATTCCTCTCAATGTTGCTGATTCTGTGAGTGTTTTGTCCCAACTTCTTGTGAGTCTGGACCTGGCTGGTCATGTTCCATACCTACGGCTCAGTTGGGATGGCAGGGCTCTCCCAGGAGACATCATGTGGCATGATCTTCCAGAGGGTGACATCAATCTGAAGATAGGGTCGTTCAGCCTGTGCACGATGCAAGTGATCTGCACCACTACGGCAAACAATGATGAGGACCCCATTGTTTCCCCCACTCAACCGTGGGTGGGTGATGACGCAGATCCGGAGTTTGATCGCCTCCAGGATGCTCATCGTGCTGGATTTTTCCATGTCGCTGAATATGTGTGTCAGGATGAGCAACCATGTCAGGTCGGCAAGATTCTCCTTATTCAACAAGATGGAACGTTTGACTGGATCTCCAGCGCTAACCTTGATCGACTGGGGAGCATTCCGACCTTCAACCACCAGGGGGCCTCCACACATTTCTTCAAAGTCAGTCGGGATGCCTCCCAACACCTTTTGGGTGTTCATGCGGTCATGGCCATACAGGGACGGTATGACCCAACTGATCCCAACAAGTGGATTCTGCTTGCAGGTGGACAAGATCTACGATGGTGCAAAATTTGCCAGGTGCCAAGATCAGCCACACCAAGGCAGTGCAATGACTTGCTTCAGCAGCAATGCAATGTCACCATGAGGAACTTGGTTGAGTGCCGTGCTGACCAACCTTTGATGCTCATAAATGGGGATGTCCTCTGGAGTGATACAAGAGTTCAGAACGTGGTGTCAATTGCTTTTGGAGGGATGGATCGCCTTTCCGAACAACCCAGTTGCAATATCCAAAATGATGAGATCACGGCCAGGTTGCTCCAATTCAATCTTGAACCTGGTGCGATTGGCCTGGATGAAATGATCTTTCACTTTGACATCCTGAAAGTCTTGGTGCCATCTATTTGCTGGTGCCCCCCGGGCACGTGGGCCAACAATGAGTCACAATTCCGACTACCCACTGAGCCCCTTGATTTGCAGCGCTGCTATCAGCATTTTGTGGTGCCGATTCTGGTGCTCTTTGACTGGATCTTTGTTGAAGTGAGATTCTTTGAACGGCAGTGGAGAGTGCTATATCATTCGCCGGAGCAATTGACTATTCGCCAGACCAATGCTGTTCTTGAGCTTATCAACAGCATGGGGGTCCCTGTGGCACCAAATGCTTACAGATGGATTCGCACTGCTGAAGACAATGAGCTGGCTTCGTGGCATACATTGCGGACATTTTATGCCAGAGCGGGTGCACCACTTCTGCCAGAATCGCATAGGAGCACTCAACGACTGCAGCGATCGCAGTATGCCTCACACGTGACGCAAGTGATTGACCAAGCTGATCTTGTCTGGAGGGAAACTCAGGCGAATGACCGGATGGTGCAATTTGCCAGGGCTTGTCGAAGTGCTTTCCTGATTGCCATCACAGAGTCCCCAAGTCGAGCGAAGGATCTCCTTCTCCGAGCCACTGGGCGACCACTGCCAGTGTATGACATTCGTGAGATCTTCTTTGTTGCTGATGAATGGTTAGAGATGCGGCTCAATATCTACCGCACTCACCCAGGGTGGG